AATGAGCTTTTAACTATAACAAATAAATTTTGTGCATCAATTTCCCATAAAATTTATTATACTACAAAACTCAAATGTCTTTTCTTTCTCTGTTTTCCTTTACTGTTTTAGGTAAACCTTTAAATAATAGATATTAGAGTTACATATGCTATTAAATCTCAGTACAATGCTGTGCTCAAGTGCTCCCAGTAGTTGCATTGTGCTCAGGAAATTGTTCGAGAAAGACGAAGAGAGAAAAAAGGAATTAGAAGCAAGGTTTGGATCTGAAATCATTCTAAAGTATCTCGGGAAGTTGAATGAGATGGCCAGCAACACTGGCTACCTTTGCTGTGGGAAACTCACTTGGCCTGACCTACAGTTATTCACTATTGTCAATATCCTTGTTCAAATGAAGCCAGAGGCAATGGAGACTTTCCCTGATCTATTGAAACACAAGTCTATAAGATAGAGGCTGATGCTAATATTGACAAGTGGCTCAAAGAACAACCAAAATCTGATCACTGATTATCAATAGTTAACTTTATTAACATTATTAATATTATGAGTATGCGATTGTGAACTAGAATGTACTACTATACTGTCAGCTATTATTCATAAAAATTTAAATAATCAAACATGCTGATAATCAGTTAGTTGGGCAGGAATTAAAACTATAATCTCTATTTGTTAAAATAAGTTTGTAGGATTACGCTGCTTTTTAATTCACTGTAGTGTATTATTCTTACTTTAACAAGATAGTCTAATACATTCTGTGGAGTTGTGAATAGAGGGAATATAGTGAGAAATGTATTGAGGAAATCCAAACCAAAATAACTGACTTTAGTCAATTGGAGAAGCAAACAGCCACAATTGACCTGAAAATAGAAAACAAGCATATTATAGTTTAAAATATCCAAAGATTGTTTTCACCACTAGCTAGGTTCTACCTTATAATGTATTTGGGTGTGTGTTTTGATGTCCTTATGCTATGTAAAAGTTTGAGTAAATCAGTTCTAACTAAATTTTTTTGAGTTGTGGTCATTTTGAAAAATTAGCAACTTTTCAGAAAAAAGCAAAGGCTATATAGCCCATTGTTTTTTTTCAAAAATTGACTCCAAAATTACTTTAATTTTTTTTTAATTTTCTGATGCACACTGATGTCCTTATGCTCTTTAGAAAGTTTGAGCTGATTTGGACTGTAAATTTTCAAGTCATGACCATTTCTTTAAATTGACCAAAATCTGAGAAATACCCTGTACTATACCCCATAGTTTTCTCTGAAAATTGGCTCCAAAATTACTCGAAATTTTATTTAGTTTTAAAATGCATATTGATGTCCTTATGCTCTATAGAAAGTTTAGGCTCATTCTGACTTTCAATTTTCAAGTTATAACCATTTTAAAAATTGACCAAAATCTAAAAAATACCCTGTACAATACCAAAATTAGTCCAAATTTTTATTACATTTTCTGATACATATTGATGTCTTTATGCTACATACAATGACTATTTTAGCAAGCGTATTAGCTGTAATGTTTTACCACTTTGCATGCATGATGCATGTACATGTAGCAAGACTCATAGAAGCTCTCTCTACCTTATAATGCTTTTAGAGAAGTGGGAGGGTTGATTGCTAATTGTTATTTCTCCAATACAATGAGTTCAGAAGGAATGTAAGTGTGACAATCAATACATAATCACACACACTGTATAAATACATAATCATGTGTGTGAAACAATCAATGATTTGCAGGGGGCTAAAGGTTGCAAAAATATTTTAAAAAGTCTTTTTATTACCAGTTGTTGTTTCCCCCAAGGTTCCCCCTTCTAAATGTGCTGTATCGCATAAATTTTGAATTGAGCTCAGCAGGACGGTTCCCCTTGACTAGAAAAAATAAAATAAAATAAATAATTATCATAGCTATTTACCTTGAGTCAACTCAACTGTACAACTTGAATTCAATTTTACTTGGAGCCCTATCTCAGGACCATGCAGTTGAGACAGTGTAGAGATTTAGGACTGAAATGGAGGGAAGAGGATTAGAGGAAGTGGATAAAACCATGATTGCAAACCTCAATCTTCAAAGCGTCCAAGCACCAAGTGAAAAAGTGAAGTGTTTATAGAACTATACAAATGAGAAATACAGCCAGTGTGAGCTAAAATAAAAAAAGAAACATCTAAAAAATTACACTAATGAACATTACATGTTGGGCGTGTCATTGTAGCGCTTGTGGGTGGGGCTCTGCAGCATTCCAACCACAATAAATTAGACTCTAAATGGCAGCTAGTGATAGCACCTATGATAGCATTTGCAGTCAAGAACTAAGTGAGTTTGTTAAGTTAATGTTTGGCATTTAGTGACATTTTTAGGCATCAAAAACTTCTATGCTATTTATGAGAAAATTAAGCCCCTTTCAGCTCGTTGGAAGCAGATAGCTATTTCCTTACGTATTAAAATAGATACTATTAATAGGATAGAAGTCGATTGTCGAGGAGATACTATCACTTGTCTACAGAAAGTAATCGAGTGCTGGTTAAAGAAAGATTATGATTATGAATCTCATGGATCTCCGTGCTGGAGGAGAGTGTGTGTGGCTGTTAAGGAAGGAGGAGGTGACTCAGCATTGGCTGATGAAATAGCCAGTGAACATCATCTACTAGCTACTACTGGAGGTGTTTCCCCTTATCCTCTACCAGCTACTACTGAAAGCGTTTCCCCTAACATTCTACCAGCTACTACTGGAGGTGTTTTCCCTAACATTCTATACCAGCTACTACTGGAGGCGTTTCCCCTTACCCTCTACCAGCTACTACTGGAGGCGTTTCCTCTTACATTCTACCAGCTACTACTGGAGGCGTTTCCCCTTACCCTCTACCAGCTACTACTGGAGGCGTTTCCCCTTACATTCTACCAGCTACTACTGGAGGCGTTTCCCCTTACCCTCTACCAGCTACTACTGGAGGCATTTCCCCTTACATTCTACCAGCTACTACTGGGGGCATTTCTCGTTACCCTTTGCCAGTGATTGGTTCTGCTAGTACTAATTTAAGAGTATCGCCTTCTGGTTCAACAGGTATTATAATTGCCAAATTAAGCTAAGATAGTAATAGTGACTCTATATTTGTAGGAGAAGCAATGTCACCTGGAAGTGGAAAATCAAATAAATCAACACGTAAATAAAAATAATATACATGTAGATTAGTATAATACTGTTACGTAGTAGTCAGATTGTATTTTTGTATAAACATTCCCGGAGCTTAAAAATAGTTACTTATAACACTTTTGCAGTTTATGCTCTTTTTTAATTTTCTAACTTTAACTTTATGTTAATAATTTTTAATGGCCTGCTTATCACTTAGTTAAAACTAGTGACATGAGCTAAAGGATGTTATAATAATTTTATTCCAAATGTCACAATTTGCTAGCCCAGCTGTAACCTAATGTACATTGTTGTGTATTTTATATATGCAGCAAAAATTGATTAAAATAGAAGTAAAACTTGCCAATTATTGTAACTGCTACGTAGTCTTTGTCACTAAATGTTTTTATGATAAAAACCCTCATTACAGTAATCATCACTGTTATACCTGGTAATAAGCAAAAATGCTTAATAATTATAGATATTATAAATTTTTAGGTTCCGACAGGTATGGCTTTTCTGAAAAGAGTTTTCATTTAGCTAGCAAACTGCATGACTTACAAGATGAATTTGATGAGGCAATTCGAATAACAAAGAAATCCTTCAAATCAAGTGATCTACCTGAAGTCATTGATTACCTCAACACACATGCATTATCATTACTTGGTCCCAAGAAAAAGCAACAAACAACAGTTCAAGCAATTAGAAATGAGTTTAAACAAGTTGGATCAGTATCAGAATTGTTCACTGTACTTCAAGACAAATACATTTCTTGGTTCAACTATAAACTAATAATAAAAATTGTTGGAGTATTTCTACACAGAAATCGTTCATTAAAAAGAATTTGGTCATCGTATGAAGAAAAGTTAAAGGATTATTTTATAAACAGCGGTGGACTATTGAAAGATGCTGATGCTGTACAGTTTGGTGTAAAAGGTGTTCCTCCTGGTACACGAGTAATGATTGCTAAAGTGGACAGAGATGACTACACACTGGATGACCTTTTCTTTTTTCGTAGAGCAATACCACAAGGATTGGATGTTCCTGAATACGATATTTACTTCAGTTTCATCCATATTGGTTCCCTTTGTTTGGGTTACCTCATTCATGATTATGCCTACTCTTTTTTATTTCCACTAACTACAAAACAACAACAAAAGTTATTCAGTATCGGTATAACTGAATTGACATGTGGTGAATATATTTATGATAAAGAGGTTCGTGATTATTATTTTGACAAAATTTACTTATTATGTCAATTTTTAGGACTTAATAGAAGAGATTAAGCATTTGTCTACTGATATTGGTAAGTACACTGTACAATAATCAAATTTAGCTTGTTGTCAGCACATCAATTTCCTTGTACCTAACATTCTTTATTTAGATATATGTGATCCATTATGGTATGAGAATACAAGTACACCATTACATGAAGCAGCTTGGAGAGGATTAAAAGATGAAGTACAATGGCTTCTTAGCAAGTTTGGTTACACCACGTATCATCGTGGTCTTCATGGCTGGACTCCATTACACTCTGCATCATATGGTGGACACATTGAGATCCTTCAACTACTCATCCATCAATATGGTATTGATCCTAATGAAGGTGATGATAATAGTGTGTCTAGTATACATATGGCATCTTATAAAGGCTACTTATCTATAGTACATTATCTAGTAGACACGTGCCACATTCCTCCTGATCAACCAGACAATAGCAATAACACTGCGTTACTATATTCGGCATTGGGTGGCCATCCTGATCTAGTGGAATTTTTTATTGAGAGAAATTGCAATGCATCTCAGATTAATTGTATTAGCGCATCTGTTTCATTGTTAGCCTGTATCAGTGGAAATTTAGCACTAGTCCATAAGCTTGAATCATTAGACCTCTTTTCACCGGATTCAAAAGATCTAGTTCAGTCTACTGTGCTACATTATTCTTGTATGAATAAAAATGCTGAGCTTTTTAAATATCTTCTAGATCAATATCAATTATTCATTAATGCAAAGGATAAAGATAATAAAACACCACTTCATACTGCTTCATGGTATGCTTCATCATCAATTGTTGAGTATATTCTTAGTATTCAAGGTAATGAAGCATTATTAGTTACCGATAACATTGGCTATTCATCTTTACATTATGCATGTAATGCATCTTCGCATATCCCAGCTGGTATTGTATTTGGTAAGCTTTTTGCACAGCGTGATGCATCGATTATTGAGATTATTAATTATACTAGAATAAAGCAAAATGTCAATTTTATGAAACGAAAGGAAAGAGTTAAATTGTTTTCTTTACTTCTCAATAAAGCTAGCACTTGC